AACTCTGAACAAAATATCATGGTTCTTTCAAAAACTTTACAACTGAATATTGGCTTAAACAACAGCTTTGAAACATAACTGGGAAGAAAAAAAAATACTGCTTTGCCTTTAGTTTGTTAGTAGTTCGTTTAACACAGTACTATTCTCAGGCCTGCTGATGGGGGTGGGGCAGTGGGAGAAGGGAGCAACTGCCCCAGGGCCTGGTTATTCAGAAGGGTCCTGGACTCCCAGCTGCTGATGCCACTACTACAGCAGTGGCTGAAGCCCTGGGCCCTTCAAAACACCACTAAAATGCTGTGTAGCACACTCTGGGCAGCTCTGAGGGCTGGCTGCCCCCAACCTCATCCCTTCCACCCAATGCCCCAACACCTTCAGGGAGCGCAGAGTTGCACCCTCCCCATCCAGCTTGCCCCTGACTGTACTGTATTTACTATTTTTCTCTCTTTTTGTCTGCTGCTGCCTCATTGTGTGCTTCTCATTCCCAATTAAGTGTGTGGTTGATTGGTCGGTCAACATAACTCCGGTGTTCATAACTGATGTTCTATTATAGATTTATATCTGTAAGTGAGCATGCTATTCCAGCCTGGCTGGGCCCAAGCTTGTACCACGGGCAGGAGGCTGTTCCAGTCTCCCACTCCCCTGTGTGGTGTGGCAGGCCAGTTAAAGATATATCTGGTTAACATTTTAAACAGGATTTTGCATCCCTAGTAGCACCTTATTCTGTAAATAGTCCCATGGAGTCTAATGGGATACCTCATGGAATTAGTGCCCTTAATTCAACTTTCCTCACATATGTACTATGAGACTGCCTTTAATGATCATATATTAGGATATGTCTAAACTGCACGGTTATTTTGGGATACCAGAGGTATACCGAAATAGCTACCTGGTGTCTACACAAGCTGCCCGATATTTTGAAATATTTTTTCGAAATAACAGGCACACTACTACGCCATCCCTGTAAACCTCGTTGCATAAGGGTTAAGGAATAGCTTGAAATAGCGCATTATTTTTCAAATTTGGCACTATGTAAACATGCCAAATTTCAAAATAAACTATTTCAAATAGATTCAAAATAAGATATGCAATTTGCATAGCGCAAGTTACGTATCTTATTTCGAGTTCAGGGTGCTGTGTAGATGCATCCTGAGTGACCCTATATGTTAAATTACTACACACCATCCAAACTATGGGTGAGTATAGAATATATTATTTCCACATGGGCTTTCCTGTGGCATTTATCACTGCAGTATCAGAGTGCTCCTCCCCAGCATAATTAATTCTTCATAATACCCTGCAAGATTAGGCAATGTTATTTTACCAGAGTGTGACTGAGACATGGAGTGTTGAAGCCTGAACTTTTCAAGTGTCAATTAATTTGGGTGTTCAAGCTGAAACTTTACCAAGAATAAATAAGTTCCAGCCTGAGAGGCAGGAGCCCAGCATGGAAAATTTCATCCCTAATGGCTACAGTTTGGGAAAGTTATGAACACCTCAAGACAAGGATTTATGATGGATAGAGTTAGGCAACCTTAACTATGAGCATCATTGCCAGCTTTCTAATAAACTCGTGTACTTTAAAAGGAGAACTATATTTCTTATTAGGTCAAACCTTGTGGAAAGATGATTTATATGCTGTACACTGGAATGAGTAACTATATTCTTGTTTAGATGTTTATTAATACAAAGAACGCTAATGTATTCATAACTATTAGCTTTTAAGTCTATACATTATTGGAACATGTTAATACTTCTGCATTTTATGGTAAGGTCTCATAGACTTTAAGGGCATAAGGGACCATTGTGATCATCTGCTGTGATCTTCTGCACACTGTAGGCCACAGAACTTTACCCACTCACTCCCAAAATAGATCCCTTACTTCTGGCTGAGTTACCGAAGTCCTCAAAAAATGGTTTAAAGAGTTCAAATTACAGAAAATCCACCATTTTACATTAGCCTAACCCTGCAAATGCCCCAGACTGTAAAGGAAGGCAAAAATCCCGTGGGGTCTCTGCCAATCTAACCTGGGGGAAAATTCCTTTCTGATATCCAGATACAGTGATCAGTTAGACCCTGAGCATGTGGGCAAGCCCCACCACCAGACACCTGGGAAAGGCTTCTTTGTAGTAACTCTGAGCCCTCCCTGTCTAATGTCCCATCTCTAGCAATTGTGGGATTTTTTACAAATATTTTAGCCAGAGAAGGGATATTTTACATTATAAAGTGGCACATTGTGCTGTTGCACTGGGAACAAGCAATAGAGAAGCTGTCTCAGGAACTCGAGAGCTGCTGGATGATGTAGCTATTAGCTACACTGGAGTGCAGGACAGTTGTAGGCTGTTGCAGATGAGAGATTACTACATGAATATAAACTGAACCACAACCATGTGTATAGGCAGTGCAGAGGAACTGGTTGCATTAATGCTCCAAGTTCTACACTTGAATTTGGAACAAAAAACAGGACTATGTAGCACCTTAAAGACTAACCAGATGGTTTATTAGGTGATGAGCTTTCGTGGGACAGACCCACTTCCTCAGATCAAATTGTGGAAGAAAATAGGTATGACCATATATACCAAAGGGATATAGACTAACACGGCTACATTACTTGAATTTGGGTAAGAATTTATTCTTACCAGCATCTCTGCATTTTTCCCATGCATAGATCTTTTACTCGAATTTTGCAGGATCAGAAATTTTCTGTGTCACTATTAGCAAAACCCTAAATTTGTTTGATATTCCAGTGTACTTAAAAATAAGGTATTGTTGCAAAAAAGTCTGCTAGGCAGATTTTCTTATGCTAGGTTCCAAAGTGTTTTCATGAATTCCATGTTCCTGAGACCAAGGACAGAGAGAGCGAAAACAGAACATTCAATTTTTGGAATTACTAAAAGACCTTCTGAAATCATTATTTCACTCATACACTGTTTACTCAGATAACATTGCAGCACATTTTCTTTGCCATATGCTAAACCAGTTTTTATAAATGTTCTGTGTATTCCTTATACATTGTCTTTTTGGTTGCTTTGAATATAAATACCAGACAACTGTTTGCCACATCTACTTTCTTCTTAGCAGCTCAGTGGTACCATAGAGCAGAATCATGCATTGGCATCTGTTCTTTAAACTATCTCTGCATATAAAAAAGCTTAATGCAATATTACTTTTCTTGTCCTGCTTCTGAGTAAAGAACAGCACAATACTATGATTAGCAGTACACCGGCAAGAGGCAAAGGACAGAACTCACCATTGTTCAGAAATTGGACCTAATTGGGCGCCCTAAAAGTCCAGCCTAATACACGGATAGACAAGGACATACAGTATTTTGGTATTGATTCCACCATATCTTTGTTTCTGCTGAGAGAGACCAAGAACTTGGAGTGCCAGAAGAAACAAAGGGTATTCTGATTTTAGATAATTCTTGAGCTCACCCTTCTGAAGCAGAGCTTGTGTCTGGCAATATTTTCTTGTCTTCCTGCCTGCAAATGTCATATCACTTACTCAGCCAATGGATCAGAGAATTATTCAAAACCCATCTGTAGATGACTTTTTTGTTTTTATGAGGAAGCTGCTCAACTTTGAAGGGACAATCCAAGACTTTCAGTCATGGTACAGCATCAAGGATGCACTTTTCAATGTTGCATGTGCCTGGTCTGCTGTATGAGCATGGAGAAAATTGTGGGCAGAAGTGATATTTGTTGAGGGGTCCTTTGACTAAGAATAATTTCAAGGCTTCACCAGAAGACTAAAAAGGAGAGCACTACAGGAGATATTTGATGTCCTTCAAAATGCTGATTCCACAAATCCAATCACTAAACTGAAGGATAAAAAAGATGAAAAGTGGGTAAATGTCAATCAACGGCTAGATGTTACAAAATCCTGACACTCTGAAATTATAGAAATGGTTGTCCATCTGGAGAGAAGTACCTGTACTGCAGATGACATGTATTCAGAGGAAGAAGACCATATTGAAGAAACCCAAAATCTCTTGGGCTACTGCTGCACAGTGTCCAGAAACTTTGGTAAAGTTTGCCAAGTAGCAGGCTTCTTATTCTGCTCAGGAATTCATGCAGCTGCTCATTATCCAGAACAATTTCCTGTAGAAAAGGCAACTGACTTGCAGACATCTGCAAGATGCTTCAAAAAAGCTTCTGGAGCTTGTGCCATGGGTCCAGCACCATAAACATCAACATCAGAAGTTGTTGATACTGAGGACCCCGAGGCACAAGAGGAGCAGTAAATAACGGTACTGGATACAGTAATACTGTAGTGTTAAAAGTTGTAGTCTATAAACTATAGTAATAAAGTTAAGTTTAGTGTGAATTATAGTTATTTCATTTCATTTTTGCATGCAGTAAGAGCATTAAAATTGTAGTGATATAGTAATACACTAGCATTAAAAGTTGTAGTGTTAAGTATGGTTATTTTATTTCTTAAACATTTTTTGTGCTATCTTGATTAACCGGCACATTTACTTAACCAGCAACACCCATTCCCCATGCATGCTGGATAATAAAGCTTGTATTGTATTTAGATTCTGGGGAACACCTTTATAGTGGAATAACCATTTTTAAAAGTCTCAGAGGGTTTTCTGTGTTAGTCTGTAACTGTAAAAATGAGCAGTCCTGTGGCACCTTAGAATTGTTAGTCTCTAAGGTGCCACAGGACTGCTCATTTTTACATTTTAAAAAGGTAATATTTGGCATTATTTCAGTGTCTACTTGAACCCCATCCATATCCCTTTCTTTCCCAAGAAAAAAAGATAAAATTTCTCTTTCTAACCATTTTTCCATTAGGATACTTTAAAAGTTTAACATTTGTTAAATCATTCCTGGTATTAAAAAATGTCATCTCTATGGAATGTATATCTGCCTGGCTACTGCGAAATATTTACTATAGCTAAAATTAGTTAGCCCGGCTGCTTATTTTTATCAAGCTATAATTTAAAGTAGTTAGTAGAAGCCTTAAAAATTAAAATTTAAACCTTGTTGTCTTTTAGGCTTACATATACGAAATGCGTACTAGCACCTTTTCCCATAAATTGGCAGGACACACGGAATCAGTGATCAACGTGGCTTTTAATCCCTCATCTCCCCAGGTACTCTTTTTTTTTTTTTTCTCCCTCTTTTTCTTTTTGTGACATAAATGTATAAGTGCCTTTGATGTCAGTGAAACAGTATCCCTCCCTTGCCCATCTGTTATCTGCGTGGCAAAGTATAATAATTACAATCTATTATAAGTGATCACATTTATCTTTGTTAAACACTAGCATTCATAATGAATTGAATCACACATATAAATGACTTAAAGTGGTTTGGAAAGCACTGAACTGGGTAGTTTATTTGAATTCAATCTGTCCTCTAGCATCAGATTACAGTCTGAACTGTACTGGTGTTGGGAGTTGAGAAGATAACAGGGGAGGCAAGAATGAAACTGCTGTTAGATATCTGCTTTTTTAAATTTACAGCCCTCCTGTATATTGTTCTTTCTACATCAATACTGCTGCTGTTTTTGAGATCTGAAGTAAATGAGGGGGAACTATTGAAGAATTATGTTCACTTGGTATTGTTGCTGCTTGTTTTGAGGAGATATTTTTGGGGAAACAAAGTTTGTGAGGCTGAAGGCTATTTTTATTAACTTCAGAGAACATACTCGTCTGACATATCAGATGTTCAATTCAAATGTTATAATTATTCCTTGGTAGGTGCTGGAGGCTAGTCAAGTAGAAGTATTAAACCCTTCCTCCTGCAAATACAGTATCATAGATTAAGGTTGGAAGAGAACTCTGGAGGTCATCTAGACCAACCCCCTGCTCAAAGCAGGACCAGTCCTAACTAAACCATCAATTTAAATAGATCTACTATTAATATCTGCAGTATTGAACTTTCCTTTACTTACTCTAAGCAATATATTTAAATTAACATTTACTTAGTCATGTACAGTAATTGTCAAGTTAAGAATTGTAGCTGAATATACAGTACTTTTCTAGAATACTTGCTTTATAGGTTTTACATTTGTCATTCTTCCTTTCTTTTTTCAAAATATCATTGTAAAATGATTTCTGCATGGCTTATAGATGGATTTTTTTTTTAAAGTAGTAAAAGTGAGCATCCAAGAGTGGTTCCAGCTATCTTTGTTTCCAGTAATGACCTGATGGTGTTTTTGGGAGAAGGGATTTCTTGGAAGAGATTCTATTCACAGGCATCCTTAAAATTGGCTCTAACCATATTACTGTCCCTCAGCAATATACTGGCAAAATATCTTTGTCACGTGCTTTGCCTCCTTATCCAGGTTTGATATAATGAGTTTATCAGTAAAACAAAACACATACAAGTACCTTTTATCTGGTTACATTTTGCTTGTGCATTAGAAAATGAAAAACCAACCAACCAAACAAACAAATATTTAGGGATTTTTTTTTGTTTCAACAGAGCTAAATGTTATTTATATCAGATTAAAAAATTCTGAAAAGATGATACAGCAAGTGCAAATTAGTGTCAGGATGAAATAAACCCCTAAAAAATACTACTTGAATTATAAATGTTAATAATTCTTGTAGAATGTTATCCTTTACTCATTTATCTATGGTTACTGTGCTCTTAACTTATTTCTCATGCAAATTTCTAATGTATTGTTTTTGTATGTTCTTCAGGACTAAAAGGGTGCATCTACATAGCAGGGCTTACCTCGAAATAAGCTACATCAATTGTGTAGCTTATTTCAAAATAGGGAGCATCTACACAGCACTTACTTAGAAATAGAGCACTCTTCCTCTGACTTCCCTTACTCCTTGTACAATGAGGGTTACAGGAGCTGGAGTACAAAGTCCTCCAGCTTGTCAGTATTTCAATATTATTTCAAAATAACTGCCTGCTGTGTAGACACGGACTAAGTTATTTTGAAATAACACTACAGTAGAGTCTCGATTATCCAACCTAAACGGGACCAAAGGATGGTCGGATAATCGAAATGGTCAGATAATATGGAAAATACCTTGTGGGGTCCATGGTATTTTCCCTGTCAGTTGCCGCTCTGCAGACTCTTGGCTACTTCATGAGGAGCCGCGCTGCCCCCGACCTCTCCTGTTTCCCCCGGCCAGCCGCACTGCCCCCGACCTCTCCCCCATCTCCCTGGCCAGCCGCACTGCCCCCGGCCAGCCACGCTGCCCCTGACCTCTCCTATCTCTCCTGGCCAGCCATGGGGTAGCACGACTGGCCGGGAGAGATAGGGGAGGTTGGGGGCAGCATGGCTGGCTGGAGGGGATGGGGAAATCGGGGTGCCCCGCGACCTTCAGGGGGTGGGGGCGGCTGGGCTCCAGCATCCTGCTGCATGGCCCCGCTCCCTCTTCTCTCACTGCCTTTGTCTCCGCACTGCCCGGTGCCTTCTCTTCCGCGCTCTGCTCTGCCGGCTCTGCTGCCTGTGCAATTGCCTTGGGCAGCCACAGGCAGGTCAGATAACTCGGAATGTCGAATAAAGGGAGTCGGATAATCAAGACTCTACTGTAGTTATTTAAAAATAATGTTGCTGTGTAGACATTCCCAAATTGTCCTTTTAAAATAGCCTAGCATGATGACGTTCTAATCCAGATTTGGATAGTGCTGCCTTAGTGCACATGGTACCTGTTAATCTTTGAACAACTGTCTCATTTTTATGTTTGACCTTTTTTGTTGAATTTATTGGTCTATTTAATAGATGAATTGTTTAACACTTTCCATTTTTTCCTATGTACAAATAAATGGCTTCTATTCTTGTATAGCTAGCCTCATCCTGTATGCTGTACTACTCAATATGCCCTTGGCATCCACACTTAGATATCCTTTTTCTGGCATTTATTAGACTGGGACTCCAGATATCTGCATTTTTGCGTATTCCTAGCTCTGCCACAGACTTCCTGGGGAATCTTAGGCAATTTACATACTTGCTCTGTATGCCTCAGTAATCCATCCCATAACACATCATTCTCTGAGCAGTGTTTTCCGTATAAATGCTAGTGTTTGAGTGCCTGAACAAAGGGAAATATTATGGTCGATTATTTTACTTTCTTCATATTATGATCTTAAGGGGCAAAAAGATTTACTTGCTAAACTAATTCTGTAATAGATGTAAAGGTTGTATCTGTAGATGAATGTATTATGGAGACAGGTGTTATCACACTTGAAGTCTCACGAAAACCTTTGCATTCTTATGTTCTTAAATATGCATGTGCTGGAATATGGTTATGATGCTTATGATGTAACCTATGGTACAGAAATTGTCAGATGGATTTTTGTTACTAATTTTGTGTTTAACTTAAACTGTGTAGCACACAGAGGGGAAAAGAGGTATACTGTAAACTGTTTGGATTAACTTCAGATCTTCAATAAATGGCCAAATTAGATAAGCCTTTGAGTAATTGCAGTTGGAAAATGCTGTCAGAGTCTTAGATCTTGGCAGCTAAATTGTCCAAAGATTCTGTCCACATTGAGCATACTCCGGTTTGGGATGAGCTGGACTTTCCCTGCAATTGCAGCTCTGAGCAACTGTGGGTTATATTGGGTCATGGTCCAGGTAACATATGTTAACTGATTGCAGGGAGCCTGTTACTTCTCTGTTCTCAGGCTCCCTTCTCACAAATAGATCTGCACAGGAGCCATAGAAAACATCATATAAATTTTCTGCTGACCTGCTTGTATAAAGTTGTCTGTACAGTTGCCAATTGGCAGACTTTCTTGTGGATTTCTCAAATAGTTGAAGTTAGCACTAAAATTACCACACTAGTCAGAAATGGCTACAAATAACTTTGGATGTGTCTGGAAATATGAATGATCATTTACTAGCTTCTACCACAGTGCATTTTTCCTAGTGGCTACATCTGGAGATTTCAACTTAGAAAAAAAATCTGTGTGAAAGCTCCATCCTGCTGTATTGGGTCACCAGTGACTATACACTTAATCATCAACTACATGTCATTTTCCCATAAGCAAGCCAGTTTTTGTAAAGTCAGGGAAAGTTCTTTTTCAGATCCTCATTTACTGATTTTTGGCTTTGATTTGTGTTGAATCCATCTTAGGTTATCCTTATATAGACTGCATTTTTTCCAATAACATAAATAGCACACTTGCATTAAGACTCTGCAGTAGCTTGTCAGAGCCTGAATTATGTGGTTTTAGGACATGGGGCCAAATATCTGTGATCCTATTGAAGTAAGATGAGTTGAATCAGGGAGGTCTTTGACCCACAAGAGTTTATCTCTCTGCAGCCAGTTCAATTTTCTTTGTCTGCACCAGCTTATCAACATGTCAAAACTATAAGGATTTGTGGTTCATTGGTTTTGAGACAGTTTAGCCCTTTCAAAAAAAGCATACTTTGTGTCTGAGGGGATACTCGTCTACCTGACATTTACTTTCTTTCTCCAGAGATCCAGCTTCAAAGAGTAAAATGTGCCACTGAATTGTAAAAATCCTTTTATGGAGATTATAGACTCCTTGACTTTACAGATGGAAGGGACCATCATGGTCATCTGTTCTGACCTCCTACAGAGGCCACAGAACCTCTCACCAAACACTCCTGTGATAGATCCCAACCTCTGGCTGAGTTACTGAAGTTTTCAAATCATGTTTTAAAATCTTCAAATTACAGAGAATTCACCATATGTGCTAGTTTAAACCTGCAAGTCCCCAGTGCTCCATACTGCAGGTCCACAGAGAGAGCAAGAAAAGATGCCAAGTATTACAAACAGAACTGCGTACACATTGCAGAACACTCTTCCAGAAATTAAGTATAATAAATACCAATAAAATAACTGAAAGGGCATATGAGCATCAACACCTAGAAGTCCACTAAAGGAGATTTAAAGAAGTGGGAAATGTTTTTGTCCTATGGTGAAATACACATGTTTACTAGTATCAGTAACTTTTTCTTATTAAACTGACATTTGATCATCCAGAGCTTCATATCATACTTATTCAAGTGATATCCACTTGTTTCTAGAGAGTTTTCTGTTTACTTTTAAACTGTTTCCTATCTCTACCTCTCCCCACCAGGATTTTGTGCAACTGTTAAAAGATGCAGACCCAGAAAGTCACTTAATGTATAAGAGAAATGGGAATAAGAGAAATT